TCATCATCTCTACTGTATTAAACTGGGCAAACAGACTTTCTCTTCAGCCACAGCCCACTCTGGAGATACTTTGGTCTATAGCTTCCTTTGCTAATCGACTTTGGTCTACACTCTTCCAGTTGTTTTCTGTCTCTTAGAAATGAATCCAAAATATTATTCCCTCTTGCTTTTTCAGATTATCTTCTGTGTTGTGGGTGTGTATTTGTTATTTGTGTACTTTAATTCTAATAGAGTATCTACAAAGATGAGAGAGCAATGTGTTCAACCTGCAATCTTAAACCAGAATACCCCTGTACACCATTTATCTTGATAATTTAAAAATCAGAATTGTAAAAAAAATAAAAATAAAGATAGAAATCAGAATCTTAAATAAAGGCTGAATTCCTGTTTTAGGAAAACGTATTGTAGTGATGCAATAGACTTGCTTTTCTTTTAAGTCAAATTTCACAGTGTTTATAACAGTGTACCCAATTTGCTTTTTTTTTTTTTTACTTTTTTATTTAGCATTTTTGCCTCATCTGTTATTTTCTGCCTCTAAATCTAAGTCATCTGTATTTTTTTTTTTTTGGATGTCTACCCCTCCCTTTTGTTGTCTACATCAATGTCCGTTTTCACAAAAATGTACTCCAGTTAATAATGTACTTTAGGAGTTTGAAAGCTAAAACCAAATGGATTTTTGACTTGTGATTCAAAGACTGTCTAAGATTCCTTAGTCTGCTCTATGCCTCCAAAGAAGCTTAACAACCTGCAGGTTCTCAGAACCCTAGTCTCACAGATCTGAGGCAGAATATCCCTGAAATTGCTTGAATGGTCTCATAGAAGTGGGTAAAGCTGGTGCAGTTTTGAGTTGGAAGCTCTATTTAGAAGTGTGCATTATTGGGCTTAAAAGAGTATATCTCATTCCCCTAAAATATAACTTCAGTTTTGTTTATTTTCATGTCCTTAATATTTATGATATTCCCACGGGTTAGAAATAACTAGAAGAGAGTATGTATTAGTTAACTGAAAACTATCACAGCAAGTAGAAAAAGCAAAACAAAGAACATGTTTTCCTGCCAGTTTGCATTTAGGATATCTTTTAATCCTTCCATTGTTTTATAGAAAGATTGTTGGACTAGGAAAAATTAAAGAACTAAGTCAGGGTCCTCACTCTGGTCTAATTAGCTCTGTAACCTTAAGCCCTAGCTGCTTTGTTGTAAAAAAGGGAGGCACATGGAACAGATGGCTTCTTAGATTTTTCTAGATTAGAAAAATCATGATAGTGATCTGACATTCTCTTCACTATTTCACCTCTTCTTTTTCTTCATTTAAAAATTTTTGTTTTAAAAAAAAAATTTGTTTTTACTGCTCTACCCTTTTACTCTTTCTTGTTCCAAGCTCTCTATTACTACTGTTGCTCCCCCACTTCCTCTTTTTATTTTTCCTGCTTTTTTTTCCCCCTCCTTATTCTGTAGTCTTTCCTTGTCTAGGGTCACCAAGACTGTTCCTAGAGTGTAATGTTAAGGCGTGTGTTATGAAAATAGAAGAGGCAACCTCAGTTCAAAATTTTACTCTTTCCTAAAAAGATGTATTACTGTCGTGTAACAGAAGAATTTATAGTCCAGAAACCATGCCTGACAGAAAATGTTTTTGAAATCTTTTATCTTTTGCTTTTAGAGTGATTTTTTATTTTGCTTTCTTATTTTGTTTTATTTTATCTAAACAGAGAATGGACATTCTTTGAAGTCTAATCATGATTACTACAGATGAATCCAATGTACCAACTTCCCAACATTCTGTAGAGTATTAGAAGATTTTTACACTTTGAAGAAGGGGAGACAAATCTAAAAAACATTTGAACTACTGAGAACTAAAATATGGTGGATGATGTTGATTTAGAACTTAAAAGGGTAAAAAATGTGGGGTCAAGAGATAGGTCTGAGTCCAAGTCAGTTTGAATGTATGATTACTTTTCAGGTCTCCTAAAGTTTAAAAAGTAATATTCATGGTGTCTGGCTTTTGATTTATCATTTGTGTGGTCATGGCACAGTAAAAACTATGCCTATTGTTCTTACCATATATCTATCTATTCCATATCATCAGGTATGTAGTGGACAATGCTGTACCTAAAACTGTAGTTCTGACACATAACTTTGCCAACACAATGAATCTGATCACAAGATACAGTGAAACTATTTAGTTTATATTTTTATGTACAAAATTTCTCATTTTATATTCTTTTATAGACACCTGTGCTTATAAACGGACCCATTTGGGTATTTTTTTTTCTTTTGTTTTGTCTTGTTTTTTTACTGTCTTATAGTTTTTATGTCTGTCTACCCTTGGTCAATCCAGGAATTCCTATCTTCAGTAGTCTTGCAAATGGCTTAGGCACCAGCTTCTATTTCAGTTCAAGGAAAGCCAGAAGTTAGGGTTTGTGCTGGTCACAGGCCAGTGGAAGTTACAGTTCATATCACGATGACCTGACATATCCAGGTCATGTTGACCAGATCAGAAAACGCATCAGTCTCCAATTCAGCCTCTTTGTGAAATTCTTGCCTAAATTTAATTTCTTTACACTGAACCACCCAAAGTTTCTGGCAGGCAGAGAAGTACACAGCGATGCAGGATGGGAGCTTTTTATAAATAGTTTGTGGCAAGCACAGGATATTTCTTCCTGAAAAAGGACCCTTGCTATCTCTATAATATTAGCATACTAAGTGTGTTATGTTGCTCACATTCATAATAAACTAAAGCATCTGTTTAGTGAACCTAAAGAATATTCAAATTTAGGCTATATATAGATCACTTGCTTTCAGATTTCACTCATAGTTTTGTCTATAAAAACAACACTAAAAATGAGGAAGAATGTGTCCTTTTTTCCCCTTCATTGACTTTTAATAGATATCATTGGAATATAAAATCTAAGTGTGAGATTATGAAAGGTTATTCTTTAATTCCTACCAGCTGAATATGTGTTTAATATGTTCCCAGGCTGTTCTAAAATCTTGAAAAAATAGATGCATATAATGATTAAAGTGATTTTTAAAAAATAAACATATTTTTAATAAAGGTTTCTGACCCACTGATAAAATATACTTCAATAATATATGGGTATGTAATTTCTTGTTAATTACTAGTGAAATCTTCCTTCTGAATGCATTTGAAGACATGTAAATTACTCAATATCAATAATTAGTTGTAAAGCTTTAGAGCACGAAAGATGCCAAAGATATCATCTGAAGAGCATATGTGAGTTTGTGTGCTGTTGGCTATTTGTGAGTATTTTTTGTTTTCATATTGATAGCATGTAATTCCTTTATTTGGTGATCTTAATTTCTAAGTTCATTTAAATTTTAAGAAATTCAAGACATATAGTAGCAAGTTTAAGAAAAGGCAAAATAAGCAAGTAAATATTTGAAGGAAATCATAAATCTAGTGATAGATTTCTGTTAGAAAAAGAAAAAGGCGTAGAAAATTTTCATATATTATGTTCACAGAATAACAGAAAAGGTTCTGTTAACATGATATTTGTCATTATGCAGTATTTTAATATCCATATAAGTCTGTTCAATTTTTATTATATGTAGTGTTTGGTATATTTATTCTTTTATAGTTATAATCACCAATGTGTTTCATTTGAGAGTTTAAAACTGCTAACGAAGTATGTTTTTATATGGAATATATTTGCCATTATGAAGAATAGTTGGGTACATTGTTATTTCAGGCAATAAATTTGAATTCATTCTAGTAGTTTAAAAATTGTACTATTCAGAAGTTCAATCATATGTATGTTTTATGAATTGAACACATTTTCAGTAGTACTTCATTTAGTTCTGTTAAATTTTTCAGTGTGATGTGCCTGGTATTTTTTATTTTGCATTTATCTTTTCAATATGTTTACATTGTATGAGTTGAGCTTTTTGCACATAGGTTCTTGATTTGTAGCTGCATGGCAGGGCTTTTTGTTGTGATGTAACCAGCATTCTTATAAAAGATATGATGTGCATTTGTCTTGCGTCTTTGTCTTCATTCCACATGTTCCATAGTATGTGTTTTTATATGAAGTTATTTAAAAGGAATAGTAATTTAACAGTCTGTGATCGTGTCTCTTACCATCCTTGTTTTCAACAAATTGGTATTAGTTCTTATTTTCTGATAGTCTTAAACAGATTTTTCAGTATGGTGTAAGGCAGGTAAGTCTTAACAGTCACCAATAGTCTACCCTTATATCATATGTCATGGGGCAATTATTTTCACTGTCATCAGACTAGTTGGTTTGCTTATTTCATTTTATTTTGGTTCCTTTTTTTAAAATTTGAGGTTTAAATTTTCAGTTTTTGGAAATCTAATTTGCTGTAAAATATTAGGAATTCTTCAGAAAACAGCCCTTTTTAATTACAATCACCAATCTCTGTTGAGAGTTAAGCACTTTCAGACCTTCTCTAATTTATTCCTCACCACAATGTCAGGAAGTAAATATTGAACACATTTTAACAGATGAAGAGACAAAAAGGCAAAGCGGTTAATGTACTTGCCCGGGGTCATAGAAGGACTCAAACCAAAGTCTGTCTCATCCCACTTTTATTTTTTTTTATCTGTCTTTTTTTTTTTAAGATTCTATTTATTCATGAGAGAGACAGTGAGAGAGAGAGAGAGAGAGAGGCAAAGACACAGGCAGAGGGAGAAGCAGGCTCCATGCAGGGACCCTGACGGTGGGACTCGATCCTGGGACTCCGGGATCATGCCCTGGGCTGAAGGCAGGCTTTAACTAAAGCGCTGAGCCACCCAGGGGTCCCTCATCCCACTTTTAACACTATCTTCCACTGCCTCTCACCTATGATTTTTGACATATCCGTTTTCAGTCCAAAAAACCCGGTTAATTTGTGGTTGACTTATGTCCTTTAGTAGTAACCTTTCACACTTTCGCTTCTGCATTGATGTCATAGTGAAGCAAAAAAAAAAAAAAAATAATAATAATAATAATACAATTGAGCATTAAAATGTGTCTTTTCTTTTAGCCAGAAACATTTGAGCATCTTTTTATCAAGCATACAGAATCAGTGATATTCGGTCCTCTTCTTTTGGAACCTGAAACCATTTCAGAAGATATCAGTGTTGACACGTCATGGAAGAATAAAGATGAGATGGTGCCAACAACTATGGTCTCTCTGCTTTTGACAACTCCGGATCTTGAAAAGGGTTCTATTTGTATCCGTGATCAGCACAACAGTGCTAACTTCTCTGAGCTGGAGAGCACCGTGGTAACCCGTGAGGATGAGAGCAGGAGGCAGCCCTCTGTTAGATATGCCACCCTCCTCACCAGCTCTAAATCAAGTGAAATTGAGGAAGAGCAAGGGCTTATAAACAGCTCAGTCAGCAAATGCTTCTCTAGCAAAAATTCTCTACCAAAGGGTTCTTTTTCTAACAGCTCATGGGAGATAGAAACTCAGGCATTTTTTATATTATCAGATCAGCATCCCAATATAATTTTGCCACACCTTCCATTCTCAGAAGGATTGGATGACCTTTTGAAACTTGAGGGAAATTTTCCTGAAGAAAATAATGGTGAAAGGTCTGTCTATTATTTAGGGGTCACCTCAATCAAAAAAAGAGAGAGTGGTGTGTTTTTGACTGACGAGTCCCAAGTGTTGTGTCCGTTCCCAGCCCACTGTTTATTCACTGACATCAGAATCCTCCAGGATAGTTGCTCACACCTTGTAGAAAATAACTTCAATTTAGGAACTTCTGGTCAGAAGACTTTTGTACCTTATATGCCTCAATTTCAGGTTTGTTCCACTCAGACTCAGAAGATAATGGAAACCAAAATGTGTGACCTAACTGTCTAATTCCATTCAAGAAGCATCTCAGATTTCTGTTACAATGAATCAGATGAAGTGTAATATATTTCACTATGGTTGTGGATATGGGAGAGAGAAAGAAAACTATCAGTCAAAACTGAAAATGACTGTCCCCAAATCAATGATCTCTGTCCTCGCTTGGTAAGATAGACAAAAGAATGTGAGAAAGCCTTCAAGATCCTGGCAATATAGACTGACTCATCTAATGATTCCATTAACAAGCTACAGTGGGAAGGTCTCCGATGGCTTGTTTCTAGCTAGAAATAAGCCCAACAGATATCCTCTTTTGTGAACATGAGACCTATATAGAAAGAGCTGATCTTTTCAGATGTACCTAAGTTTGAAAGACTTCAAACTGATACTTGTGAGATGGAACTTGCTTCAAGGGTGTGGTTGTTTTACCTTGAGTTGTCTTTGTTCTCCAGTGATTTGCACGTGCACACACACACACACACACACACACACAGGTTTATACCTAAGAGGCATCCTCATACATTTTTAAAGTATGTGATGTATTTGTATTTTGTGCTACTTGACTGTATGGTTTTAAGATTTTGCAATTTAACAAACTTGTCTTGAGCGCTTACTCTGTGGTAGGCACTCCACAACAGTTGCAGATAAGTAGAAGATTTAGCTCTGTCTGGCCTACGGGGATAGACTTCTGAAGCTGACAAGTAAGCCAATCTTTATGTATCAAAGCTAAGATATGTACCACTGAGTGAAACTACCTATTAGAATGGCAATACCCACAACCAATATTTTGATGACAACAAAAGTACTTTTGAAGACATAATATCTGTCTTAACTTTTCTCTGTAAAACATGTTGCAACGGTCACTTTCTGATACAGTTAGATTGCCAAATGTTACCGTATATCAGTCTCGAATCATCGTCTTCCCTGATTCCTACTTGCTTATACATTATTTTTTCCCTCACTTACTGAGCATTCTCTCTCATATAACCAACCACTGTATTAAATCTTTCCATACTTTAACTCAATTATTAAAATAATTGTATGAGACATGTATTCCTGTAACATCCCTTTTAAAGATTAGAAGATTAAGTCATTTTCCCAAGGTCACAGAGTTAGTGGGTGATGGAACCAGAATTCATATTTAAACCCAGATCTTTTAATGCTAGTGATTATGTTTGAAGCCTATTCCTTTACATTGCCATTCATTAAAAATAAATGATTTGTAATCAAATAAGATTTATTAAGTGGAAATATAATGCTGGATGAAAATTAAGTGAGAATTACACAGATGTTGTTTTTGTCCTTAAAGACTAGAATATTTATTGTCAGTTTCAGTTTCTGGTATGGCAAGAAAACTCAAAGGCAGCATATTGAGTAACAAACTAAATTAAGAAACTGACAGAGATGTTGAATGGCAATAATTAAGAATTTCAAGACCAGTATGATCAAAACAAATACTTCAGTCCTCAAAAATATGCCTGTTGGGTTGCTAAACATCACCAGTTTCATACTTAGACTGAGAGAGGATCCTACTGATTTTACTGTTACCCTAAATAAAATCCTGCACTCCATTTCTATTCTAGTTGTAGCCACATGAAATGCTCAGTTCTAGACAATGACAAAGATCTCAGGCCCCAACCACCAGGTATTTTTGCACACCTCATGATCATTTGCCGATTAGAAATCAATAAAACTGTTTGATATCGTAAGCATTGTTGAGCTATCTCAGGATCTCACATACTCAGCTGATGACTCTCACCAGAGAAAGGTAGAGGGCTTACATCAATTCACTGAATAATTGGTGTGGTATGAAAGCCTTACTTCTATACAAAGATAAATCAAGAGAATATTTTTTTCCCCACTGATGTATTAAGTGGTTTACAGATTCGGAAACAAAGAAATTATTGCATGTATTGAAGTTCTGGTAAAATGGACCATTATTTTTAATGCTGCTCAGAGAATACATTTAATTGAGAGTAGAGTAGGGTATAGGAGAGACAGGAAAATTACATCTTGCTCCACACTGCACATATTTAGAGATTAAACACTAAGCATGTCCACTGAGACATAGCATTCTCCTGCAGTTTGGGATTCATAACTGTAGGGAAGATAAACTGCTAGATGTTCCAGTCACCATGGTACATGAATGCTGTAGTGAATTCAGAAGTCTCAGGACCACTGTAGTGCTGTAGATCTGTGTTACAGGAATTTAGTAACAGCATATTAACTTGAGATCATTAATATCATCCTGGTGCAACTTCGGTTCCTAAAAACAAGTGAAAACATCACAATTATTGATATGCCAAGAAAATTTCTTTCATAGAGAGGGCTCAAGTGGTACAGTTTGGCCCACTGGCATATGTAGATTTAGTTCTTATCTATCTAGGGCTCTGATTTTCACTTTTGAAAGTTTGATTCACTGTTTATATTACTATAGAATTTATATACTTCAGGATGGTCAGGTATCCTCCATTTCTTCCCAAAGATTCTTTAAAAAAAAAATGTTAAGGGAGAGAAGAGCTGAAACATGGGTTTGGACTTTTACACTTAGGATAAATATGGAATTTTGAGTATTTCATATAAGGCCTTGAAGTGCAAAGCAAGTTACTAGTCAGCCTCTCTAAATCTGAACTTAATGAAAAGAAACTCTGAAGTTACCAGTTTGAGCTATGACCTCAAGTTTCACCAGACTGCCTGAAGACAAATCATTTGTCAGTGTTAATGAGATTATATGTTTCTTAGGTTAGACTCCCAAGAACAAAGACAAAGAAAACAAATCAAGGTACGCTTATCAGTAACAGCAGGGGCCTCCTGTGGGAGCTGTTTGTTCCCATTTGGAGATGAGCTACATATGAACAAGAGGAGTAGGAACAGATCTTTTATTTTTAAACCTAGTCTCAAGTAGTAAGAAGACTTGGATGAAATTTGCAAACCAGCGGGTAATCCTGGACCTAGAATCAGGTTTGATGCTGCTAAGCATGAGCTGCTACCTTCTCTCATCCCTTTCCAATAAAGCCAACTCCCTTTTTCCAAATACCAAACATATGGTCACATTCCCTTAGGAATATTCATCCCGACTACCCAAAAGCTGAGAGAAGATAAACTTCCTCCACAAATTGATACCAGATTCCAATGCTACTTTGGTTGGCACAGGATCCAGGCTAGGCCATAAGAGCTGTGCCTGCAGGCTCCTGTGGAGTTGGACAACATGCTAAACAGATCAGGACATGCAGCAACCATATGTCCCATAGATATGGATGGAAAAAAGACCTCTTCCCCCATTCTTTCCTGTAGTTTTTAAAAGAAATTTGTTCCCCTTTTCATCTTTTAAGGGTCATCTTGATAGTTATGGATTTTTCTAAACTATTTATTATTGAGAAAACACATCCTCAGATTTAAAACACAAAATTGTCCACTCTACTATGTGAAAAAGCTGCATTTGAGAAAAAGAAAATGTAAACAGTTACCCACCCACCCCCATGTGAAGAAACATTTACAACAGGAAACTAGATAAGTTACTACTTTTACTTTTTCTTGAACAACTAATTGAAAACAGGCACTCCTGCACATAATCACAGTGTAGAGGGAGTAATTTAGAATACAAAGGTCTGTATGGGAACTGAGATGTTATTACATGCATTTGAGCATTGAGAAATGGTTTTCATGGGTTCTTATACTGAACAAATTATTTTTATACAAAGTTTATCACTCAGTATTTATTTTGGCAAGCTGTTGGAGATGTCTATTTTTCAAAATTGATTACACTTTGGATGTTTGGCATTAAATTCAATTTTGTGAGGATCTTTGACAGGATATTTTAAATAATGTTCGTTCAAAAACTCTAGAACCAAGAAAGGATTTGGAAACTATCTAATTTTGTACTGAAATACCTAGATCACAGACGTTGCGCTTTTAAAACTTGTCATTAAGTATTTGGCATGCAGTGAACACTTTCTCTTTAGTCACAATTGGTACATTAATAAATGTTATAAACAAGTGCTAAGATATGATCACCAATTGTTTTATAAAATGTAAAATTTATTTCAGTTCTTCTTTATGTTCCTAAAATCATAAAGAAGGAAAATAAATTATGACTGTGAATATTTTTATCATCATAAATCATGAGCAATGTCAGAATTTTGAGAAATTGAATGTCCAAATAGAGTTATTATGAATTTAGGTTATTTAGAATTATTTTATGTATTATTACTTTCAGCAAAGATTTGAAAATACAAAGAAGTCATCTTTTACGTTAATCTTTTTAACAAATTTTTTATATGTTGTTAGCCTTTATATCTTCAAAATACTTACATAATGCCTGGCCTTTGAAAGGGGTTTGAAAACATTTTAGATGCAAATATCTCCCTTCATTGTTATTGTCTCAGGTATCTACTCCATACATCACCCACACCAAATTTTTCTGGCATGATAGCTGTTTAGGATGAAAAAGTACTCATTTTAAATATCAAAAGCTCTTTAGTTTGATTCTTTATTTCATTAAGAAGTCTTGATTTAGTGATCTGTGAACATTTGTTTTGTCATTTAGGTTTCTAGCAATTTGAGTTTTTAACTATTATTTGGTCTAGTATTCAGACGCATTCTCTTTCTTGTTTTCTAATTTTAAAATGTAAATAGAACAAATACACACAGGAAAAAACAGTACAGAGAAATATAAGCTAAAAAGTCTAAGTGTCTCTTCCCTCGTACCCTTCAGTTCCGATTCCCCAGAATAGCTTATTATTATTATATCACATATCTTTCGAAAAATTTATATAGCTGGGATTATATTCTGTCTGCAGTAAAGTTACCCTTTTAATAGGTCTTGGTGATATTTCCTTATAAACCCATATATAGCTGCTTCATTATTTGTAAAGGTTTCATGGTGTTCCATTGTATCAAAGTACAATGATTTATGTTTACAGTTTACAATTGGTGAACATTTAGGTTCCACTCATTTACTATTATGGGCAATACAAGTGAGCATTCTTGTACCTAATTGTCTTGGCATACTTTTGGCAAATCTACTTGTCAGGAGTCTTGGCTAAAGTGTAAGAAATCAACTCAAATTGTCTAAAGTATCTTTTTGATATTTCAGTTTCATCTTGTTGAGTGAAGTTGACCATATTTTCATGTTTATAAGCTATTTGCTTTCCTCTACTTTCATATTCTTTGCCTAGTTTTCTATTGGGTTATTATAATTTTATTGATTTCTTATAATTCTTTTTTACATATGTGATCTTTTTCTTAACTGAGATATAGCTTATATGTTGTACACAAGCCTTCAGTGTATAGCTTAATGAACTTTTACACATTTCCCCCTGAGTATTTACCCAGGAGTAAAATTGCTGAATGCAGAATAGGTTCTAATTTAGCTTTAATAGATACTGCCAAATAATGATTTAACTAATTTACACTGCCATCGGTAATGCAGAAGAGTTCTGCTTCAACACTGATATTGTCAGCCCTTTTAGCCATTCTGATGGTTGTGCAATGGTTTCTCGTGGTTTGGGTTTACACTTCTGTAATATGTGATGATTTTGAGTAACAATCCCTTTCGACATTTTTGCTGTTTTGTTGTATATCTTATTTCTATGTATTTCATAAACATCTAAAGCGTTGTTATATTGTTGCTTTAAGCAGTAAATAGTCTTTTTAAAATTTGCCCTTTGTAGTGTAGTCTTTTCCTTCTTGCGTGTCTCTGCTTCCATCCAGGATAGTTTCCCTTCATCCTAAAGAACTTGTTTGTCCTGTGGATCAACTGTGACTTCCTTAATAACTATTTTTTCCAGTATTTTGTGCTATTATTTTGGAATGAATATCTTTAATCTATTTGGAATTAATTTTGTTATAAGGAGTAGAATAATGATCTAGCTTTTATTTTTTCCAAAGTTCTAATCAGCTGTCCCAACACTGTCCCAATTTGATTCTGGAACAATCTTTTTGCCCACTCACATAAAATGTCACATTTATCATTTATTAATTCTCAAGTATATTTGTGATTATTTCTGGGCTCTCTATTCTTTTTCATTGATTGTGCAATCTGTTTTCATCTGATTATTAAGTCTATTGATTACCACCAGCTACTCAATATGTTTTAATATCTGGAGGGCTGGATTCCTCATCCAACCTGCTCTTTATGCTTCATTGATATTCTTTCAGAGCAATTTTAGTATCACTAAGTTTTTTTAAAAAATATTTTATTTATTTATTCATGAGAGACACACACAGAGAGAGAGGCAGAGACACAGGCAGAGGGAGAAGCAGGCCCCATGCAGGGAGCCCGATGTGAGACTCAATCCGGGGACTCCAGAATCATGCCCTGGGCCAAAGGCAGACGCTAAGCTGCTAAGCTACTAGGGGATCAGTGATCCCCCATCATTAAGTTTTATAAAAAATAATTCTGTTGTTATTTCAGTTGTAGGTAAGATAAAAGTATTGTAGTTAAGATAAAGTATAAAAAATGTTATCAGTATTTAGTTGCCCTACGTTGCCTATAAATTTAAAACTTTGGACACCTGAGTGGCTCAGTGGTTGGCATCTGCCTTTGGCTCAGGTCATGATTTCAGGGTCCTGGGATCCAGTCCTGCATCGGGCTCCCCACAGGCAGCCTGCTTCTCCCTCTGTTTCTGTCTCTGCCTCTCTCTCTGTGTCTCTCATGAATAAATAAATAAAATCTTTAAAAAAATAAATAAAAATAAAAATTTGGAGGGAACTGTGCCTTGTATCTTGCTAAATAATGAGACAAATCATTCATATCATATCTGCAATATTAAATTACTTCCAGAATCTACCTTTGATACTAAGGAATAGAAATGTGGCAGGTGCTGTAAACTTCATGCTTTAGATATGCAGTTATAAGTAGGGTGATTATCAATCCCACTGTGCTTGTCCAAGTCTTCCTTTAGGTATATATAATGATCCCTGTCACTCCTATAAATGTCCAGTTTTGACAAACAAAATACATGGTTATCATATAAAGGATTAGCTCTCTAACAGTAATTGTTACTGTTGCTTTTATCTCTTTAATGTACCAGTAGTTACTAAATTTGTTCAGGTATGGAACATCTAGAAATCACAGTGCACTTTAAAGAACATGAAGATACTGCTTTAAATCTCCCACTGTAACACCTGAAAACAACTATCTAGTAGCAAATAGTTTTTTGTACACACGTGTCTGTTTCTCAAAAGTAGCATAAAAGCTTTCTTTATCCAGCAATATGGTACACTAGATGTTCTGAGAAATGTCTCCCAATATAGAATATCTAAAAAAAATGGTAGGTTAAAAAATCATTTTAATGTAGGCTTTGTTGAAGGATAAAGAAGAAAATACCAGAGGAGTCTAACTTTGGAGTCAACTGATCTCCATGACCTATAGCCTAGTTTTGAGAGGGAAACATGTCAAAAGAAAAAGAGTGGAGAGACCTTTCATAGAGGACCTCAGAAGTGAACAAGATAAAATCTTGCTGGGGCTTATGTTCTTATCTCAGCCACTGTGCTGGACCAAGTTGAAAAAATAAAAGGAAAAAAAAAAAGAGCTACCAACCCTCAGGTCTGCATCCACTCAGATTTCTAACCTCAGATTTTCATTCACATGGATTTGGGGCCCAAATTTATACTTGTGTGGTCCAGAAAAACACAAATAGAATATTTATCTTCAGGAGCTCAAGATTGGTTGAACCTTTAAGGTCCATCACAGAAGCAAATACAAATGAAATTTGGGTAAACCACCTTCAGCCTAGACCCAGAAGACCTCAAAGTTCCAAGGAACATATGGTTATTGGCAAAGTCACTTCCACAAGGACACAGATCCCACTAGTGAGAATCAGCGGGAACAACAAATGATGGTATCAGAACGACAGAGACTGGAAAATCAAGCCAATATGCTGAGGAAGAAGAGGAAAATGGAAAAGTTTGGTCCTTAAAGACAGTTTTGAGCTGCATATCAAAATTTATGAAATGCAGTCAAGGTACTTAGTCTGTAATATACACAATAATGTGGATGAATCTCAGCAAATTGTACTGAGTTAAAAAAGCTAGAACAAAAAAAGAAAAAGAGTACATACCAAATGATTTTATTTGTTTAAAATTCTAGATGGGCCACCTGGGTGGCTCAGTGGTTGAGCATCTGCCTTTGGCTCAGGTCATGATCTCGGGGTCCTGGGATGGAGTCCTGCATCAGGCTTGGCCCTCTGCAGGGAGTCTGCTTCTCCCTCTGCCTATGTCTCTGCCTCTCTCTGTGTGTGTCTCTCATGAGTGAATAAATAAAATTTGAAATAAAATAAAATTCTAGGAAATTCAAAGTAATCTATGTTTTTTTTTAAAAGATTTTATTTATTTACTCATGCAATATATAGAGAGAAAGGCTGAGGGAGATGCAGGCTCCCTGTGAAATGCCATACACAAAAATAAACTAAAAATGAATTAAACACCTAAATGTGAGACCTTGAAACAATAAAATTCCTAGAGGAAAACATAGACAGTATTTTCTAAATACTGACCTAACAAAAAAGCAACCTACTAAATGGGAGAAGATACTTGCAAATGATACATCCAATAAGGGGTTAATATCCAAAGTATATATAAAAAAAACTTATACAGCTCAATGCCAAAGAAACAAATAATCCAACTAAAAATCGGCAGAGGACCCAAATAAACATTTTTCTAAGGAAGACATACAGATTTCCAACAGACATACCAGAAGATGCTCAACATTACTAATTTTCAGAGAAATGCAAATTAAAACCACAGTGAGATACCACTTTACACCTGTCAGAAGGCTAAAATCAAAAAGACAAAAAATAAGTGCTGGCAAGGATGTGGAGAAAAGGGAACCCCTATGCTCCGTGGGAAGAAATGCAAATTAGTGCAGCCACTGTTGAAAACATGAAGGTTCCTCAAAAAATTGAAAACCCATATTCCCTGCCAAGCAGGGAGCCTGATGCGGGGCTCCATCCCAGAACCCTGGGATCAGGACCTGAGCTGATGGCAGATGCTCAACAACTGAGCCACTCAGGCGCCCCAGTAGGTCACTGTTTGCCTGGGGTCCAGAGGGGTTAGAGGAGGGATTGCCAAGGGGCACACTTCAGTCTAAATTCTTCCTATATAAAGCAGAAAAGATGTATACCACTTCCAGGATGGAAATGTAAGGCCTACCCATTCTTCCTCTGTTCTTTCTTCTCCCTTCTGACTAGCTGGAACCAATGATAACCCACTCCTCAAAATGTAGACAAAAATAAGGACCTAGAGGATAACAGAGCAGCACATTTTATACCTGAATGGTCAAATGAAGTAGAGTTCAATGTGTCCTTGAATTTTACCCCAGACTATTAGAAGAAAATAAACTTGTATCCTTTAAGACACTGAATTTTCTTTGGCTATTTTTGTTACAGCAGCCTAGCCTTACCAAAAGAGTTCTTGAATTTTAAATTCCAATGGCATTATTTTTTAATTCGAGGAATTATTTTTCAAATCTGCTGGTCATTTTCATTATATCTTGTTCAATGTTTATTTTTTGAAATGTCAACATCTATTTCTTTTTTTAAATATTTATTTGAGAGAGAGAGAGAGCGAGAGTGAGCACAAGCAGGGGAAGAGGGAGGGGCAGAGGGAGAAGCAAATTCTCTGCTAAGCAGGGATCTGCGCATGGGGCTCCATCCAAGGACCTTGGGATGATGACCTGAGCCAAAGGCAGACACTCAACCACTGAGCCACCCAGGCATCCCAAGGGTCCTAGTTTTGCCTGAAGCTCTCAGGTTTATCTCCCACTCTTTGCAATGATAAAGCCTCATTTCCCAGTACCATATAAGCATTAATCATTTGGCTCTGGGATAGGATTGTCAGATAAAATACAGACCACCTAGTTATATTTGACTTTCAGATAAACAATGAATAATTGTTTAAGTACAAGTATGTCCCATGCAATGTGTATTTTTTCACTTGTAACTCAAATTTAACTGGGTGTTCTGTGGTTTTATCTTCTGAATTTATTATCTGAATTTGGTTTTCAAATTTTTCTGGCTTTAACACCCTGTTCAAGATTTTTGACCTTGAAGATTTCATTAACTTTTTATCGAGTGGTAGATGTTTTCCAGTGGGATGTCGTCTGTCTGAGAACATCAAATCTATCCACTCTCTGCTTAGGCATATAGATATCTTTGGGTTGTACTTTATTCAAGCTTAGACTCCATCGTATACTTAAAGATGTTGCGTATTTCTAAGTGAGATAACTCTTTTGATTTCAAAGAATATTTATGTCAATTTAAGGAAATAAATATTTCCAGAAAATAACCTTAGCCAGCTAGATCTTCTGTGGTATGTTTCCCAATAATCTGGGAATAATGAAGTTGTAAGAGTCACTTTAGCAACCTTACTATTTGAAAACTAATACAAACCTCCCAAACTTAAGAAACTTTTATTTTCTAAAATCTTTCCTACTTACTATGTTTTGTTGATTCCATCTGAGTATGGTATCTGCAAAACTGATGTTATTTCACAGAATGAATGAGAATACTTCTAGATTTATTTACTTTCAAAAATTATATACTTAATTGCTTTAGGACTAATGTCCTGGGCTCCATGTCTGCCCCTCTTCATTTTCTAGCGATGATCCATAAGCACCTACCTG